ACTGATGTAATAATAGCCGAAAAATTTCAGAAATTGGTCGACAAAAATGGTCCAGCAATATTTTTGGTTCAAAGCTTTTCTCAAACATTTCATCACATTTACAACATTATTGTATTTAATATTTTAAACAGTTTACAACACTTTAAACAAAAAAAATATATTTTACATGAAATGTAAGCCAGCTTTTATAAATCTCATTTTCAAACTGCTGGCAGTTCCTAATATGTTCTTTTACATCCAAAACAATATTCAACTTTAGATATAACTTTTACTTTTTACGGATTTTTTTTTTTGTACGCCCCTAATGAATCAATTTCATAGGAATTCGAGTGCTGACTCGATAAGTTTTGAGCAAGCACGTCTCAGCTGTATATGAATCGAGTCGCATCTCCAGTAGTATAGTTTCGCGGTGTAAGCCGATCGGTTGATTTCATTTACGCTTTTCTATGTGTGTAAATATATTTCATTGCACATTATTTGAACCGCAACTACATCCACAACGAACACTACAAAATTCAATAATTTATTTTTCTCAAATAAACAGGTATTCGTAATTTGTAACGGAACATTATTCGTGATCACCGATTTCCTGTACTGGAAGGCATAAAAGTAAATGTAGTACATATCTACTTATATTATATACCACGAACATATATAAGTAGATTTATGTAAGAGCGCAAACGCGGAGAAGGAAATACAAAGTTAATCTCTTATAATAAGCGACAATAAATACATTTAATATTTACAATTTGAGTATGCAGTGACTCGCACAACAAATGGGACATGGCTTATCGACACAGCACTGCACAAATGGCGAACAATTGCGTTATGCACGAAAAAGATAATATTTCATAAACTACTCAAAAAAACAGCAGGCTGGAATGTATCCAACTTATCACGACACCAGTACGTTTAGTACCTACAAATGTATTACGTACACAAGTTAAATGCAGTAAATAGGGTGACAGCATTCGGAAGTCTGTTAAAACACCAAATTCGTTGAAAACAAGAAACAACGTTAACTCCGGTTGCGCCGAAACTGGAATACCCTTCACAAATATAAATGTTTTCATTGAACTTAATTTGGATCGGTTTGTTAAAGGACATGTGCAAAGTTAGAGATTGATATTGCATAAACTGAGGGACTAGTTCGCACGAATACAAACAAACGGACGGACAGACAAGACGGACATTCATTTGGACTAATTCCTAAATTTTTAGTATTAAAGTCAACTAGAAGAGCGAGATTCATTATATTCGACAAGTCTTCATATTCATTATATTATATAAAGGATTAAAAGGTGTAGTTAAATTTGGAACATCATAAGAAGAGATGCATTTAGAAATATTAAGTTAGCTCCTACCTAGATGGTTAGGTGCGGAATGTTTCCTCACTGTGTTTAGGCAAACCTAAACTGTAGGGCGCTAACTTCAGCCAACAAAAAAATATAAGTATATAAAATCTGTTTTTATTATAATAGAATAATAATGAGAATCCAGTTCGCATACATCTAATAGTATCAAATGGCCAGTGCTATCCCTAAAAAGGACGTTGTGCGTCCAGACAAAGGTTTCAGCGATTTAGTGTGGGAAAATTTTCATGAATTCTATGATCAAGAAAAACATATTGATGTTACGTTTCTGTGGCGGAGTTATCCCGAGCGGTTAGTTTAATTACGATTCAACCGCCATCTATTTGTTTTAGTATTAGCTTAACACTTTTGTTTAGTATTACAGCTCATCGAGTTATCTTGGCCGCTGCCAGTGTTTATTTCGACGAACTTTTTCAAACCAAGCAGGGTTCGGCTCCAGCTATTTACATTGAAAACATTGCACCGGATGAGTTTGAATTACTTATAGCTTACTGTTACACGGGTAGGCTCAACCCTAAAATGAACAACGTCAGTCGACTTTTAAATGGAGCCACGATTTTGAAGCTTGACGGAGCCGCTGCCCTTTGCACTGCTTACTTAAAAGGATCGACGGAAAGATCACGCCCACTACGCATTCCAGCTTTTCAATTACCTTCGAACCAACCAACATCAAGTAATACTAACACAAATAAGTCTATATTAGCAGTGCGTCAAAGCATCGGAAAGCAGGTAAACTTTTTCATAGTTGAAAACTTTGAAACATTGACATCGGACAGACAAAATTGTGGAGCGACATTTGATCGGGGGAAATCGGGGACTATGATTTAATCTTAGTAAGAATAATCACACATCTTGCACACAACGCTTTCTGAGCACATCGATAGCTTGTTTAGTATTCTAGTTGCATGTACCTCATCCCACCAACAACTTATCAGAATACTAAATTAACGGACAGTGAATTTAGTTAACGATTGATCCTGAATCAATTAGACACCAGTAGCAAAAGTCTGATTCCAAAGATGACAGTTAAAGAGACTCACAAATTATTGATACCAGTCTATGCAACCATTCCAATGGATGTGAAATGATTTTGAATATATATATATAATTATCCATTTTGAAAGGGAAGCTTAGTTTTGAACTACCTCATTTCTATCTTATTTAAATAAGTTTGGACATTCTTTTACATAGGGCAATCTGACGGCCGACAAGAGTGGAATACTTTTGGATAAGTTCTCGTACTTCTATTATTTGCTTCCGCCATGAGATAGAGAAATTTACTCAATTTGAAATTTTATTTCACAGGATACTGAGAGTTGTATTTACCGATGCGACGAAATGGAGAAGATATGGATACAGTGTGGTGTGTTAAAGTTCCCCACACAACGAGCAGTTTTGGTGTATTCAAATAAAAGGCTAATAACTCTAGGTGGCATTAGCCCACAAAATCTACCGATGACTTGTGTGCATTCCTGCAATTTAGAGACACAAATATGGAGAAAATTGCCCCCGATGAAGGTTGCACGAGTTGGGTTGTGTGCTGTCGCCGTAGACGGGATCATTTACGCAATAGGTGGATATATGAGCCCTCAGTACATTGCAACGATGACTGCAGAGAAGTTAGTGCTTTCCGATATTTAATTTGAATTCTATATAAAATATGTACATGTTGCAATAGATTTGATCCTTCCACCGGCCAATGGACTTCAGTACCTTCTATGTGTGTCTCCCGAGCCGAAAGTACGGCTGTGGCTATTGACCATCAAATTTATATAATTGGAGGTGTTGGAATCGATCGTGAAGAATTAAAATCAGTCGAATGCTATAACATCAAAACAGGAAAGTGGCGTAAGTGCGCAGACATGCTTCAGGGACGTTTTAATTGCGGGGTAAAAGTATCATGAAATATGCAACTGTGGTCCAAAATAATGATACGAGTACATGTCTTTTTATGACAGGCATCCGTTTTTAAAGGTCTCTTATATGTAATAAGTTCAGGAAACACGCAGCCCCCCTACAGGAGCGACGTAGAGTTTTACGATATAAAAACTGATACATGGTCACAGGTGTACTAAAAAATAAAAAAAAAAAAGAGAAGTAAGTGTAAACATGTATCTTTTAGGCACCACCAGTCAATATAGCACGAAGTGGCATCTGTGGCGTAACACTAAGTGACCGTTTGATGGCCGTCGGCGGATCACCATCAACTGAGTTTAAAGGCATTGTCGAAGTGTACAAACCGACTCGAAATACTTGGATGCAGGTACGGCCTTTGCCGAGCAGCGGTAATTACAGTTGTTTCATAATTCCAACAAAAGAGCTTCTTACAATCGGTAATAAAACTAAATCACCAAAGGTTATAAAACCTTTCGGGCAAGAGTAAACACCTTTTTAAGCATATACATATTTGTACTTATATATGCAACTTATTAAGCTGAAGGAACTGGTTTGCAGAATGTCTGTCGACAAATATTTTCAGCCATAAGTTGTATTGTGTTGAAAAGAATAAAATTTAGACAATAAAACGTGAATTTGCCAATTTACAGTCCAACTTCTTTATTGCGAATTTTCTGTACAACGAAGTTTTTATACCCTGAACATGGTATATTAAATTTGCCATGATATTTGTACCACAAATAAGGAAGTGTCAGAGACCCTATAAATTGTTTATAATTTTTAAATGATCAAAATGACAAGCTGAGTTTGCTTAGCTAGGTTCGTCTGTTTGTATATATGCGTTATTGTTCCACATTTTAAGGGATATCGATTCCCCAAGAAGCAGCTTATTTGTCCGCCAATATTGGATGACTGTAGCCTATAGTTGTCATACAAACAGAACAATCTAAATCATGTCTTGGTTGGAAACATTATTTTAACGACATATCTTCACCAAATTTGTCAAACATTTTTGAGCAAGGCAATTTTTGTGCAAGGCAAAGAAAATTTTAACCGGAACCCATAGTATGTACATATATATGTACCTGCCATACAAGCTGACCGATCAAAACCAAATAAAGATATTCCTATATTATTTAGTGCTATACAAATGCATCGTGAAGGGTATTATGGCTTAGGTTCAGGCAAACTAACGTCTTTTATGTTTTAATTAAAAAATATTAATTGTATTGCATTTGTCATTTATAAATATATAATTCCTTTTAAAAATTTTGTCAGGCCATTGCTTACTTTTATCTCCGATCGTGTTGTTTCGTTGCTGCTGCTTTAATTACATTAATAAATTTGAAAGCTGGAAAAAGAATTTAATGTATAAATAATCAAATTTCAACAAAAATTGTCACTCCAATCCTCTCTTTAAATTGGTGTTATTTAAGCAAATGAAATATTTGTGCTTAACTTTTTCATATCCTTTTGTGCTGCTCAAATACGTTAGAATTGGGTTTGTTTCACTATACGAGTACTAGATGTACATATGTTAACATTTTTGTGTGTGATGACAACAAACACATGCTTTCGCTTTGATTAACATGGCAAGCATGACCGAACGCTTAGTCCAGGCAGATGAACAATCGGCCAACTGCACTTCTCACAACTCATTCACATACGAAGCTGAACATATGTATATAATAAGTCTACATATAGGTATTAAGATACGTACACGTGTAATATGTACATAAAGTACACATTTCGTCTGTCACACCTTCGGCATTTACCGTCCTCTGTGCACATTTGTTGTCATTGTTTTATTTGCGTAAATATGCTCGTGTTTACAGTCGTGCATAAATTCGTAAATTTATTCTCTTGCTTCCGAATATTCGTTCCGGTATTGCCTCATGTTTCCCCGCTTTACGTCTTAGACCAAAGATAATCCTCACTTTTGTCATCTTAACTCTGCTCATAGTTCACATTTCATTTTCATTATTTTCCATACTCTGTAGAAAGCCGTGCGACATACTTAGAAAATTAGTCGGCTTTATTTGCAGCTTTTATCCTACAATTAAACGAGTAAGCGTCTGCTTACTTAAGCCATTCAAATGCAAATTAGTTTAGTTCAGAGGTCAAAAGAGTTCGGTAACAATGGTTGGGCAAATTGATAATAGACATAAAAAAAGTTTGTGAAAGAAACACTTCAATTAAAAGTAGGCGTTACATATTTAATAACTACAAGTGAACAAGTATTGCGTATGATAATACCAAAGCTGCTTGTGGTCTATCATAAACAAAGCCATTTCACAAATTTCTCCCTCGAGTCCTTGGAAGTTGTTCGTTGCACAATTTTTCGGAGGCGGTAAAAAAATGTCTGGTAATTGCACAAATTTGAAATTTTAGAAAAATAATAAATAATAATTGGAGTGGCATACAAATTTTTTTCTGGTATAGCTGTAAAAAGTTGATTTGCATCATTGAAATATCAACCGTGTTTGTAAAGTTTTTGTAAAAGTGCAGTTATATAAACAACATATCAAATGACCAATGTCACTAAAGGGCAGATAATAGCTTTATCGCAGATAATGAATCCCTTTAAAATGTCAGACATCAAATAGAAGCTGTTGCGACAGGAGTGATAGTGGATGTATCAACGTTTTGCCGAAGGCTGAGATAGGTAAGATTCAACGACTTCGTCTTTCGACACGATTCTGCACACGGCGGGAATTTTTTTCAGTTCCGCTACTTAATGTTGATCTTGTACTTAATTTTTTTTTGCAGGTTCGCGATTTTATGACTGGAAATGGAATAAAGCAGTTGGTGTGGCCTGAGAACAGACCCGATTTCAACCCCATCGAAAACCTGTGGGCGATTATGAAAAATCAGGCTGTCGCACAGAAGCCGAATAACTAAAAAGACTGAATCCGCCCAAAGTATTGATTAAGATATTTCCCAATAAATAGAGTAAAATTATAAGATAAAAGAGCAATTAATGTGATATTACTATTGTAATGAGTTTTGTAATCAATATTGTGATCTAGATATTGATGCATGTTGTGGAATATTCCTAAAATTAATAATGTGACCAAATTTGAGTCAAAAATCCTTTTCAAAAACTTCACATTAATAAATTTTGGCTAATAATTTATTTGTTCATTAACTCCAAATCCCAAGAAACTGTCATTTTCACTTTTTTCTTGAATGCATATTTTAGCTCATAATACAAATTTTCCTACTGAACGATTTTCTATGCCCTGTACTGTATAATGTAATGATGTAAGTGTAAACGTTTTTAAAGAAAGTGAGAGACCGCTCGAATTATCTAAGAACCGAGCAATTACTTGAATTGGTTTTTTATCGATATAAATTCTTTCAAAAAATATGGATTTGATTGTACTAATTAATCCTAACAACGAAAGGTTAAGAAAACAATTGCACACAGCAGAGTTTATTTAATGTTGAACTAGATGTAAGCTGCAGATATATACGCCTTATGTTCAATACTTTATAGTAAGGCATAACCAAGTCTGTTGCGTGGACGTCAAAAGAGAAAAAATGGTGAAAGCACATTTCAATGTGCCATTCTTATTCTCCTTTGTTATTATTGTAGTTTTCACGTTTTCAAACCAAACTCTTACATGCTGAAACTGACTAAGCTTCTCACTTCAACACCAAAACGGATTTGACTTAAAAACATTATATTATTTACTATACTATACTTATTAGCACTCTTTAAAAAAATTAATTACTGAAAGCTATATACTATACGTGTCGGTATGGAAAGAGTTTCCCGAGATTTTGGGTATTGATTTTGAAATAGTCTCATATTAAAATTTGAACAACATCCAAACAGCTTTTTTCGTGTTATGCTTTTATGTTTAAGGGGCTTCAAGTAAATTATTCCTCCACTCAACCTATAGGATGCAAAATGTAAGTAATTTCTAGCTCTTTGGTTAAAAGTTTAGACCACCGATATTTTAGAAATGCGCGAAATCATGAATTTTCTGCAACTGACTTAACCACCAAATTATTCCATTCCATCAAAATCATTTCTTTCAATAAACGAAAATTGTTTGAAACGTGCTTGAGTTGATCTTGTGTGATTGTTTCTTAACATTGTTTCTTAGCATCCAAAAGAAATGTCTGTCTGCCCGTCTTTCATTATATATGCGAACTTGCTCCCTTTTTTCACCCGTCATTTTCTCACCAAGAAGTTGCTTATTTGTCGGAACGGCCGATATGGGATCACTATAGATCACTAAATAACCATAATATTCTTCGAGATATTTCGCAGAGATTGTATTCCAAGATATAGCCGCAATCTCCGAAGCAATTGTACAGATCGAATCACTACATACTACATATCGTCACCTGAAATGCAAAATAACGTAACAACATTTTCAAAAATTTACAGTTGCATGAATGAAGCACGAAATAAAATGGAACATGAGTGAAACAAAATTTTAATATTGGTTAAAACTGGTTTATATCTGACCGCAGAACCTGAAAATGTTGAACATATGTATGTAATTTGAAGTAGTGAAGCGTAATCAATAAGACACTCAATTTCGAATTTTTTGATGATACGTTATTTTGCATTTCAGGTGACGATATATTCTATGTATAAATATAAATAATATTTTGTATTTGTGGAGGGTATTATAATTTCGGAATAATCGAAGTTAAGGTTTTTTTGTTGTTGTATTTCTTTTTTATTGTGACACGGACCGTTGTTTCCATCAGTGTTTTTAGATTAATATAATGTTTTGTTGCTGCATAACATAGGTATTACACACAAGTGTACATATGTTGAGAAACCGGTCCAACTGTCTGCAAAGCAAAAGCAAAGCCGCATAAGTTTGAATGTTAGCGCGTGCCAATGGCTTTGGTATTGCGAAGCTCGCATTTATATCTCCAGTTGCAAGTTACATTTTTATTCTCAGTCTTTTTTATTAACATTTTTATTTCTTTTAGGGTTTTAATGGTGCAGTTCTCGCTCTCGTTATGGTCGAGCTTCCATGCCGTTTGTTGGCTGCAACGTCATTGCTTTATCGTTGGCAACTGATCGTCGCCTGTTGCTATTAAAACAGAGCCAACCATTTAAGGACTGCCTATGCATGGACTTTGCTGCGTTTTTATTGCTAACTTTTTATGTAATTTGCCGCATAGCTCCTCGAGATCCATTTTGTGTTGTGAAGTTTTTGGTGTCTTGGACGCGCCTGCTTGATGGGTTTCTGCCAGCTTAGATTACAAACGCCGATATACTTAGTTACTTGCTACACAGCTAGATGGCACTCATGATAGCCGACAGTCATGATAAACATACGAACTATGCATTTCACGAAATGATTATACACACAAGCGATCTCAGCAACCTGTCCAGCCGCGCAAGTTCACTTGCAGTTTTTTATTACAATCCTAAATTGATTTCCTTTTTTACAACGATTCATCTTATCTGCACACTGTAAATGTTTCACGCTAATTTAACATTTGGCATGTTCCTCAATGTAGTAGTCTATGAAGATGTAAATAGAATTCCAAGTCGTAGAAGCAGCGACGCACAAACCGAGGACTTCGATTTCGAAAAGTAAGATAGACATGTATCAGGCTTGGAAAAAATCGGTTATGGCTTATCCGACAATTAGTTTGTCAGTACTTTCCATATTCTACAAAACTTCAGCTACCTGAAGATTATTAAACTTTGCTTTTTAAATTAAAACATTGTTCCAATAACCGGTTGCAACTGATAATTTTTTTACAACACTCGAAGCCATGATTTACTTATATAACGCTTCCTAGCAAAACTGTTTCTCTTAAGCGCACTTTCGATAAAGTCTCACTAATTTTAAAGGAAGTTGTTTTGGTTACATTTTCTTTAAAACCTATCGGCATCCCAGTTTGTCTCAGCCGTAATCTGCTTTCGGTTTCTTACTTTAAAGCGATTGAACCACTCAAGCAATACATTTAGATTACGAAATAAATAATTTCAGGTACTGTTTATTTTGGAAGATACAGTCCGAGGAAATGTTTGTCAGGTAAAACGATCCCCAAGAAAAAAGCAGATTGAGACAGTTTAACTTTATAGCTTCAAGGCTGGCCGTAAGCGGTTAGGTGGACTTTGAAATTTGAAAAAATCGTTCTTTTTTATTTTTTTTTTTCAAAAAAAAAAAATGACATGCCTACAATAATTTCAAAAAAATTTAAGGCCATCGCAATAAAAGTGTAGGAGTTAGAACTTTTGGGAGAACGGCCCGTAAGGCTAGACCGGTCGGCTAAAACTAATTTTTTTAAGGCAATTTATGGTATAAATTAGACCTAAAATCTTCTTCAAATCCTACTCACCGAATAAATTTCATTTTTGATTTTAAATGAATATTTCGTCTCTTATGCGAGAGTACGGTTTCAGGTACCTCCGGAAACCAGCTGTCAATGGCTGAATTTCCAACGTTTTTTATGAAAAATTCTTTTTTTTTAATGGCATAGAAACCGCTTAGGCGGTTATAGCAGAGTTAACAATAGCGCGCCAGTCGTCTCTTCTTCTGCAATTTGGTGCCACTTCGAGATACCAAGTTCAGCCAGTTCCTTCTGGATGTAAATGTTCGTCGAGAGACGACTTTACTTCTCAGTTACCAACTCTGACCGAAGTAGCACCTGTTGCGAGGAGTTATTCTGCGTTGAATTTCGAGGCCGACATTGTTAATACTGGTTCAAAAATAGACGACATTGAAGTTATGACTGTCAACAGTTTCGTGGGAGCCTTGTCGCGAGTGCGAAGACTGTTTGTTTAATTACAGAAGAAACTTCCTCTTACCCTTGATCACTACCAGACCCATTTGCTTTGCTTCCTTAACCAGTCTGGAGGAAGCAGAGCTAACGGCGCGGGTGTTGTGGCCGATGATTTCAATATCATCGGCATACGCCAGCAGCTGTACACTCTTAAAGAAGATTATACCTGCTTCATTAAGTTCTGCAGCTCGAATTATTTTCTCCAGAAGTAGAAGTCGCACGGTAGAGAGTCGCCTTGTCTGAAATCTCGTTTGGTGTCGAACGATTCCGAGAGGTCCCTTCTGATCCTGACGGTGCTTTTGGAATTGCTCAACGTCAGTTTACACAGCCTTGTTAGTTTTGAGAGGATACCAAATTCAGACATAGCGGCATAAAGGAACACACAATATCAATGAAATGTTGCTATTATGTGCTCAAATGTTGTAACAATTTTATTAAATTAAATTATTAATAAAACAAGTAAGAATAATTTGGAACTGAACATTGCTAATTGCAAAAATCAAAGCCGTGAAAATACTTTAAGGTGTAAAAGCAATCATACAAAGTAAAGTCAACCGGATGTTCGAAAAGCCTGATATTAGTTATACAGGGCCCAGGCCCAGTTTTCACTCAAATTTTTCTATTTTAGGTACAGAGTTACACTATTACGAGTAATAAGAGAACGTGTTTTACTACCACCACTTCCACTGAGATAACTCACATATTGGCCGATATATGCGATACAATGTGACCCGCAAGTTCGAAAATCTTTATTTTATGTATATGGGGGCTAAAGGATGAGAGCAGGATTATCCCTTAACTTTAACCGACGTGTAAATATTCGGTACCTAGCAGCTTGAATGGTTTTTATTGGATTTGAACAATTTTTGGTTATAAGGTGGTACACACTAAAGACGTTATTAGTGCAAAGTTTTATCCTGTCATATTAATTGCTTCTTGATTTGTGTACTGGAAATAAATGAAGTGGAATTTCAAGTTGTGCTATATGTGAAGTAGGCGTGGTTATTGTCCGATTTCGCTTATTTTCACAGCTCGACATAACAATATGAAAAATATACAACATACCAAAATCGAAATCGGTGAGTCGGGTCGCGAGATTTGGGATTTCACGAAAAAGTGGACGGTGCCACACCCATTGTCCAATTTTGACACTGGTTCTCATAAAGCTCTCTCATACCATCTCGGTGGTAAAATTTAATGTCTATGGCGTATTAATTATTTATTTTACGCGCTTTTAGTAGTTTTTAACAGTACAGTAGGTTCTCATCCGATTTCGTCCATTTTCACAATATTGTTGGGAGTTCTTCTAATATTCGTGCTTAACGAACTTGGTTGTTGTAGTTTTATTCGTTTAAGAGATATGCGCATTAAACATATTAGAGTGCTTGGCCACGCCTCAAGCAAGAAATTTGTTAAAATACTTCATTATAATTATTAACTAGATCCGAGTCTTC